GCTGGGATTTGGTACACACACAGCAGTAGTTAGTGGGTAGGGCATGCTTGCTGGATGCACTCCCAGGCTCAATGTGGAGGTGTGGCTGACACTGGCAGCAACCTGAAGCCTTGTTGTGGGTAGTGCTCCTACCTACCCTGCCAGTAGTAGAGTTGTACATGTGGTAGCAACAGAGAAATTTTAGAAAAAGTTCTGCAGAGATGAGACACCACAGTGATGGGCCGGGTATGACAACTCAAGTAGAGTGGAATGATTTGCTATTTATGACCAGCTGTCACACCCACTACAGCACAGACATCAACAGATTCAGGCTCCCCAGAGTTTATCCTGCATGGTGAGCTGATAACAGTCTCTAACAGAGTTTCAGAGGCAGACTTGAGAGAGGGATTAGGTCTCGAGAGGCCATATCCAGAAGCCACTTATCTTTGCCAATATTCAGATGCTGCAAAAAGAAGGAAAAAGGAGAACCCTACCACAAGGTAAGGTGGACTAGCAGGTTGATAAAGTCAAAAGGTCATGATTTCTCCTTTTCTAAGGAAAAATGATTGAAATCTCTGTCACTGATGGGGAGAAAATCACCTTTTGCATGTGGCCGTAGAGGTGTTGGCTCTGTAATTTGGATTTGAATAAATCTTTGTCATTCCTCCCATTTTTTCAGCATGTATCATTCAGTTTGGCTTTCACCTGGTCAAAGGAGATGCTTATCTGTATTTTATAAACAAGATGACCTGCTCCAGCTCAGCTGGTATCACTCTAAGAGGCAGAAAGCTCACCCAAAGAGCAGAAAAATAATATTCACAGTACTGATTTAAAACATTCTGTTTGAAACCTAAACCACAGGTTCTAGATGGTTGGGGAAGAAGAGGATTGTTGGGTTTTTTTATTGCTTTTTGTTACTTGACAAGATGGATACATGCAGAAGAAAAGTACAAAGAGTAGTCCTGTGAATAAAATCTTTTGATTTGTTTTGCTCTCGTCTTCACCTAGTCCAATCTCTCTTGAATTAAAGGGGCATCTTTCCATTGCATCAGACATGTTTTCATCAGATGCGTTTAAGAGAGCGAATTTTCTGTTTGCAAAAATATTTGCCAAAAGTGAGTGTCCCAAACTCACACAAATAACATATCACTGCAAACACTTGAACTCAGCCACCCAAAAACATACATTGAGCAACAAATCTGAACAATTATAGAGGTCTCTGAATAACTTGTAATAAAAGACTTCTCTTTCTAAACCATTACCTTAAACTAGCCAAGCACAGAATGTAACAATACCATGTTGTATATAAATCAGCAGGTATACAATACAGTGAATAATGAAGTTCAGAAACTCAGACATTATCAAATAATGATAGGCTAAAAATTGCCTACACTAATAAAATAATTATAAACTAACTACTTGAATAATTGTGATAATACCTCTTAAAATTACAGCCTAACTGTTGATAGTAGATAAGCAGAATAAAAGTTTGGATTGATTAGAGGTATTATTACTTACAATTCAACCAATTTTAATTACTTAAGACATGAGCAGAAAAACAGAATTATTGTGGGGGTTTTAGAATCTTTTCTGTTCTGGCTGCCCAAGTGTGACATCTTTTGCCAGACCTTAACAGTACAAATCTATGCAGAACAATCTGCTGGGAAAATGTAAAGGAAGGAGCTGAGAAAATTAGTATAAAGAGTAAAGATTATTAATCTTGTGCTAAAATGGATCATGTTACCTTTTATAAACTGGCACTGATCCTGAAGCTGTTTCCGTCTGACCTTTCTGATAAACAAATCCCCTAGAAACCTTGGATCTACAAGAAGAAAAACTAGTTCCCTCTATTAGCAGTCAGCAAGGAAGCTCTGAAAGAGAAAAACAGTATCACTCCCGCTGAAGCAAGAGTTAAGCAAGTCAGTGTTCAATAACTTGATTTCGTTTTGTGTTACATTTGCAAATGACATTGACACGTAGGAAGTTGTCAGTTTTAGACTGAAACTAATTCTGCATCTGTCTAAAGCAGTAAGTTTAATGATTGATCTACAGTATCTTTTATGCGTGTGTGGGGAGGAGGGCTCTTATTTTACATCATATTTTGCTTTGTGAAGATATTGCTGATGAAAAGTCTGAGAGGAGTTCTTTAAGCATTCAGTTTAAAAAATGCAGACTGAGACTTTTGTTATCCTTTTCTGCCTTGCAAGATCTTTCTGGGGAGTAAGTTTTATATACAACCCTTTTTGTGCTGCATGTTTCTTATACAAGTATGTTTAAAAATGTCTACACAGTAAAACTTTGCTAATTCTTATTCATGTGTTTGACTACCCATGGCAAATTGCAGAATTCTGCAAACACTCCTGGAAACTAATAACTAAAAAGATAAAGATAATACATCATACAGCATAGGTCTAGTCATCTATTTGATGAATATTGCCTAGTTTTATTTATAACAAGTCACCAGTCTGGTAATAAAATCTGTAAAGGTCATAAAAGAGGTCCCGCAACAACATTGTGCAATTACATCTTTGCTGAGAAACAGAAACATAATATTAATTCTTGTGAGTGATTAATGGAAACTGTGTTTAGTGTATCTCAGTTTTAATGAGAACATGCATCAATTATACTTTATTAGAAATGAGTGAATGCTGCAAAAATACTTTCTGGTGCTATTCATCAGAGTTGCAAACAAAGTCATTCCAGTCACGTACAATATCCTTTTGTATTTGCCTCCTTCAAACATTTGAGCAATTGCGTTGTATTGGCTGCAACGTTTCTGGAAAGTCACGTATGTAAGTATTTGCCAACATATATTTTTAATTTGCACACTCAAAGCTTAGAATTGGGAGAAGTAGTAGATTGGTCAAATAAAAAAACAGAAACTATACAATGTAATGATCTAAAAACTGAAAACTAAGCAGCACAGATAAACTTTCACAAACTCTATTTAATGAATCAAGAGAAAATGTAAATATGTATGCTTGAAAAAAATCAGCTTATAAAGATCTGAAGCTATCATAAACATCAGTAACCGATATTCTGTTAGCAAAATCAGAAGTTTCATCTTTTCACAAACTGTCATGAATTATTTTCTTACCTGTACTATTCATAAGTGCATTTTTAGATGGACAGTTACTATAGTATCTGAAAGATATACTGCCATTCATCCTGCAACATAAGTCAAATTACAACAGTTAATGATGAGATAGTGTTCCTATAGATTAATTATTAACTTTTGGTTTCATTACTTGATTACACAATGCACCTTATATTCATTTTTGATTCCCTACTGAAAAGATTCCCAAGCTAGTCTTGCCATAAACAATCATTAGATTTTATTTGCTTAAGTGTTCAGTGAATACCAAGTGCTTGAATGTAAAAAAGAAAAAGGACTCCTGAGCACTGGTGAATCCCTGGTTATCATTAGTACAGTCGAGGGCCATAGTGTCACTTCTGGACAAAAAAAAGACCAAAGAAAAATTAGGGAAGTCCAGTTCCCATCAAATAAAACCTTTAGATAAATACTTAATCTTTTAGCACATAAGTTAGTTCCATTGAATGCAGAGGTACAACTCATGTCCTTAGGGTTAAGCATGTATCTAAGCTTTGCTGAACTAAGGCCTCCACCCTATATGGAAGTTCTCATTCATCCCTGAAATCTTTTAAAAAGAATACAGCCCCTTCCTTTCACTATCCTGCCCCCAGAACCTCCAAGAAAAACCAAACACCTGAAAGAAAATTGATACAGGGGATATGATAAGGGAAAGGTAGTGTCCTTATCTTTTATAAGGATGCTTAGAATACTCATTATATCCAGGCACCGAACAAAGTACTCTAGATCCATATTGCAATGCCCAAGAGTATACCAAAACGATATGAAACACTGTGCAGGAAGGCAGTCTTATCCACTCTAAAATATTAAAGCTAATTCTAAATAGAGGTCCTCTAAGTCCATGTTTTAGCCAACTTGTATCAGCCAACTTGATTCTGCTTCTATGCAGGTAGACTCTATGATCTCTTGACATCCCTTTCAGCCCTACATTTGTACAAGTCAATTATATGAATATGACTACCATGCTGAGGTAGAGATTTCCTTAATGACCTTAAACCACAGCAACACTTACCCTAGAGAACTTTATCTCCATTAATCTCCAACATATATAAAGCTCAATAGTTCTCTAGAAGCTTAATTTTTCTTTATGGTATCTAGCAGTTGCACAAGCTGAGCTCTCACTACTCCAGTGCTTCTTTATCAATGGATATTTTTCTCATGGTTCATTTGTTCACTCTGGCATATCAAATACAAGTGCACATACAAAGTGTAAAGTGTGTGGAAAGAGAATCAAAAGTTCTAAAAATGAAAAGGAGTTTAATGTCAGATCATAAACCAGGTATATTTTCTACAGCTGGTTCCACATGAATGTAGATGTTTGTTCACAGCATCTCATCCAAATGTAATGCACGGTGATGCATTGTATTGAGTGGCATACATTGACTTTTGCTCAGACCCTTAAATAGGAAAAAAAACAACCCTTTGTCCTTAGTTAACATGAATTTTTAAGTGTGACTAGTGATTACTAGTGCTTAGTTGGACATGTCTATAATTCAAGTGCATTTCCATTGCTAAAAAGCCGGTGTTACAGCAACTAAAATTGGGCGCTCAAAAATTATTAGTCACTTTTGAAAGTGTATATCCATAAGGTAATCTTATGCTATGACAAGTTCATTCAGTTAGAGCTCTGTTAAAATCCATTGACTTCAGTAACTGCAGTGATGAGAAGACTGAACATGTCATTATGTATCATAGAATTGAGTGTTGTTATGTATCGTATGATAAAGAAAAAACTTGAAGAATTAAAATGTTATCAGGAATTAGTTTTTCAAACCAATTCATTAATAGCAACCAATTTTCAGTAAGAGGTAAGGAATTAGTGAAAAAGGGACACGAATCACAGTTAGATATGCAACATGTAGTTTGTGGATTGAGACTTTTTCTGACTGTTTTCTGTAATTTATATCAGCTATAGATCTGCATGCTGTAGCTAAATGATGCAAGAGCCGGTTTGTGATTATCCTCTGAAACAGGATAAAGAAACCTACACAGCAGAACTTCTTCTCAATAAGGAGATTGAACTACACATAGAAAATGTGGATTTGTCAGAAAACAGTGACTCAGAAAATGACATCTTCATACCCTGGGAAACGGAGGTGGTATCAATTTGCACAGAGAGAAAGAGGCCTCCAACTGACTCTGTCCAAAGAAGAGGTTTCGGCGAGTCTTCATTTCTACTGAAATTTCCATTTAAAGAGTATGACGGATGCTACAGTGCACCTTTCCAGTTTGACAGACATGCTTTGGGAAGGATTTCCACCTCCCCAACTCTCAGAAGACTAAGAAATAGTGTGTCCTCTGCCTCCCAAGTGCAGTCGCTCCAGGAGTGCTTTGATGATGCTAAGCTGGGATGCCAGAAAGAGCACAGTGGTTCTTTTCATGTTTGTAAAAACCCACCTCAGTGTATTAAGTCTGCCTCCTCCTCATTGTCACTAGCCTCCTGCCTTCATGCAAAACTACTGTCCTCCAAAGAAAATGTCGAAACTCCATTAGCTGTTTTAGAGTCAGCTGGCCCAAAATCACACCTGCCCCATCACAAAGATAATCTCAGCAATGGTGGTTCTGACCAAACACTGAAGAACCGTGGGAAGATCTGCTCTGCTACCCTGCCTGGAGATGAACAAACATCTCAGCCAAGCACTCCTCATCAGGAATATGTTCAGGTAATATGAGCTAAAATGAAGCTTCCCATCCTTCTTTTTGAATAAGGTATCAAAATCAATCAGGGGCCAATGCAGTCATCAAACCACAGAGATTGAGATTGAACTGACCTGTGCGCCACTGCTGAAATCTAACCAAGAAAGAAGTTTTCTCCTTCCTAATTGGTAGCTACGGTTCTGACTCAACAAGGCAGGCACAGAAGCAACTGGCCAATGCTAACCATGTGCTTCAGCAAATCACTTGAGCATGTCTTGCTGAATAAGAATGCTCTCAAGCATTTGTTGAAAAGCTTTATTGAATCAGAGCCTAAATCCTGTTTAAATTTATTTTAAATGTTGTTTCCCCCTCCCCACCCCTCAGATATTACCAATATCACATGATCCCCCAAGCTAGTCTCCTAAGCATTGGACCACCCTTTCTGGGGCTCATCATGAGCAGAGAGACTGTGTGGGGTAAGTTAAACGGGAAATAGCTTAACTAACTTAGAAAAGTAAGTGGTTCTAAAGGTTTTCATATTTGGTATCGCCAAATAAGCATAAGACAGAAACGAATGAAACCCACCCTGGATTCTATCATGTTTCTTTTGCAGCTCACTGCTGCATAAAAAATTACAAGTTACTGTCTTTCAAAACAAGTAACTAATGTCTCACTTTCTTTCAGGAAAGGGAACTACTTACATCAAGGTAGGTCTCTATTTGTTTTATCTTATAAACTGAACTTCCTTATTCTTTTTCAGTCCAAGTCAGATCTAATAGTGGAACGCTTGCACTATGTACTTGCATATAAAACTCACATTTAATTTAGATTTATAGGCTCACTTTGTGAAGTATCTGTCACTGGCTTGTTTATACCAAAGCTTGTATCGAGGGTGGCCTTCTCTCCCTGGCAAACTCAGTTATTTTGCATAATATTTCAATCAGGCTGTCTGAGGGCTACACAGCAAATTGCCAGGAGGGTTGGTCATTTGGATTAACTAACACTTCCAGTGTCAGATTTCATCAGCCAAAGAATGTAAAACTCTAGAAATCTTGCGTGACTTATTCTCCAAAACTATGTTAAAAAACCAGCAGAACAGCTATATATTGTTCTCCCATGTAAGAGAAGCAGATCCATGATTACTGCCTTATGAAAGGGGTGTTAATCCCACCATCCAGAAAGAATATGTAAATTCTTGGCTTTAAGAAGTTAGCACTGGATGAAGTGATGTGTTTGTTCTCAATAATTTGTTATAATGAATATCACTTAGCTCCCCAAAAAGTTGGGTTAATATGGCAAACATTTTTTTTTAGGAATTATCATCTTGTTTACAACTGTATTCACTGTGGCCATGCTTGCTGCCCTACTGTATCCACCCTTTGTAAACATGTGAGCAATTAAAGCTTGCTTACTCAACAAACAACAGCAAGGGGAACACAAAACAAGAGGAAAAATCACAAGCTCCTCCCCACATGTCAAGTGGTTGCTTTATGATGCTGTTATATTCATTTCAAAGAACAGTCTGTCGAAAATTTCAGGGGGAAAGTTCAGGAGCATTGAAGCCCTGGGCTGCTGATGCTTCTGTACTACACAGTTTTGCACAAAATGGGCAAATGATTTGTTCATGACTGTACTTTAACTGACTCATTCATACCACATTTCCCTGCCTTAAAGCATTTTTAATAGAAAAGTTCTATCATAATCCCCCAATACTCTAACATGAGTGATTTCAAGACTGGGGTCCATTTGCTGCGTGTCAGTAGACAAGGACATCCTTTCAATATGTGTATGTGTCCAGTTAAAAGCCCATTCTTAATAGTGGAAATTTCCTAGATTTTTCTTAATACTTGTGATTTCCAATCTATCCTTCAACCTCTGAAATTTATAGCAAAGGGAAAGCATGGTCTCTGTGTGCCACTGAGTAAACAGGAGACTACAGCTAATATGGAAATATCCTGTTTTGATCTGGCGGCCTTACAGAAACACTGCAAGATCGGGGGATCAGTGATTGTGCAAATAGTTCTATGAGCAGGCGCTAACTTTCAGTAGAAAGGTTTCCAGTGTTGCATAGAATTCAAAATTTCAGAAGATCAAACTGGACACTGGGTATATACCAGTTTGTATATTGGTAGCTGCAGTAGCGGTATTGAGTATATACCAATTTGTACATCTTGAGCATCTGGCTGTCAACATTTATATGAATAAATGTGTCTTAATCCAAGCCTGTTCAGTCAAAAAAACAGATTGAAAATTTCACCAGATGAGTTATATGCTCACGGACAGTAAATAAGGAAGTTATTTAATTTTTTTTCTAAGCCTGCATTATCTCCACTAACTGTTCTGGCCAAAATTAGGATTTTCTGAAATGTAAGAAAAACTACTACTTTTATGTTTCTCTTTTTTGAAGCCCAGTAGTTGCTTCAAGTTCTAAGCAAGGGTTTTATTCAACTCTAATTTTATCCAAATCAGTTAATCTAATCTTACAGCTAATCCTTTATTATCACAGCTAGGGGAAATGACTGGAATGTCAGGGCATTCTCCTCCAATTCGAAGCACGTGTGAAGAGCTCATTTCCTACCTTTAACCGGATAGATGTGTATCCCTTTTTAATGGAGTGCTCCTTTTCCTCTCAGTTTAGTAATTCATTTTCTCTCTCTCAGTCCAACCCACCTGTTATGTATATGTACCATATACATAAATCCTGATTTTTTTTCTCTCGATACAAGCTCCTCTTAGACCCTCAAGTGCAGCTAATTGTTCAGTAGGATAAGAGTCCAGGTTCATGCACTTTTGAAATCCTATTTATCCCTTTGTGTCATTCAAAGGGTTTTGAATATAACACTGTACTACCTAGCACCTTACCACTATAGCAAACTATATATACTAACTCCTTAAAACACAGTCCGACCGTTCTTCTTAATTTGTAATGTAAACAATCCCTTCAGTCAGCAACATTCATAATATTATGAACATCCTATACCGCTGATTATTGTGATTCAGCCAACTGTTTTCACTCTTACACACAACATATTTATTCTATTAATAAATATGCTTCGTGGTATAGGTCATGGGTTCCCTGACACATCTGAGACGTATTCTAAATGATAGCAAGGAGAAAAGTGTGAACACATCAAGGTCCATACCTTAGAACAGAGTATATTCCGTTGCTAGGAGTGACTGTACAGTGCATGTTAACATTTTCCAGAACTCATTTACTTAAAGGTTTTTAATCATTTTCTGTAATATGAACCTTTGATGTCTTGCTTCACTGGCAAAAGGGATTCAAAAAGGAAGAATTATTGCACAAGTATTTACTATGCTTGCCGTAGTCCAATTCTTCCATCAGATGCACACGATTTTTTCAAGCATATACGAATGAAATATATCCCCTCCCTCTAAAAAAGAAAATGTGAACCTAACACTTGTTGGCAGAAAACAACAGTGAAATGCCTCCATTCTTTGCATAGGACTCACATTCTACTAATTTTTTTGTCATTTCTGCTTTACTGTGCCAGGAAAATCAGCAAAAAAAATCCAATATAAACACTGTCCCAAAGGGTGCAGATTTATTCCAAAAAATGTGCATTTAGGCAGGTAAATCACTGATGTTCACAGAAGGTGAATCTATCCAGTGCAATGCAACAATGCATTGAGACACGCTACACCTTCCTCCCACTGTAGCACCGCCTTACCAAGAAGCATTATAGTTATGTTAGAACGGTAATGCATGCGCTCCAATAAACTCTGCCTGTTCAGTACATTATGGTTTACATATGCATGCACTCTAGAGGGAACCATGGGCACGGCCTCAGTTTGTACTCATAGACTAAAGGATTTTTCTGTCTACCTAGTAAGCACACATCTTTGGAAATTAAGACCTTTATATCTGATTTCAGTAAACCTACTCTTTAATTCAATTCCAAGGACTAGCAAATATGCCATTTGGCATAACTGTTGCCAAGAAACTTATGTCCAGGTCAAAGCAGATTGTTATTAAGTACTTTTAAGGATCAATACTAGAAAATTCTAAAATGGTATAATAAGTCCAAGGTGAAAAAACTGCTGAGCTTTACCATTTTAGCAGTTACTATATAAAAAGTTGTTAACCCACCAGTTTGTAGCAGCTGTCTTGCACAGGTACAAAATGACTAGAAGGTTATCTGTACTGGAAATAGGGATGTGGGGTGTTCATGAGCAGTTTTAATACTGTTCTACAATATTTGTATAGTCACTGTTCCATGCCCGCTCACTAACATTTGTACTGTGACAACACCTGAAGTCCAAAATTAGGGGACCAGACACCTCTGGATTAAGCACTGTGTTCATGCATATATAACTAGAAAGCAATTCCTCTTTCCTCTCCCTATTACCACCCCCCCATTACTAGAATTTATGGTAGGGGGAAAATGAACCCCCCCCTGCCCTGGCACCGGACCCCCAACTGCGGTCTGCCTGATGTGGTGGGGAAAGCCCACAGTAGGGTCTTTCCTCCCCTCACCCAGCTGGAGCAGGGAGCCAGCCATGACTTCCCCAGCCATACCCCCTCCTCAGCCTCCAAGCCAGCCATGGCGGGGATTGGGGGAAAAAAACACCCCCCTCAACCCAGCACTGATTCCCCAGCCAGTGTCTGCCCAGAATGGTAGGAGGCGGCCCACAGTGGGAACTTTCCTCCCACTGCCCACCCAAAGCTGGCAGCCAGGTGCGTGTCCAGTGCCAGGAGGGGGTGGTCTGCCCCACCCCCTCCTCAGACAGCCAGAGCATTCCAGCTAGGGAGCAGAGGGGTGAGGCAAACCCTGCTCTACTGGAGCAGACAGCACAGCCCAGGGTTGCAAAGCACCCTGGGATGCCAGAGGACTACAAGTTAACTTGAACCAGGAAGGGGTCTGGGACAGAAGTTCCATAAACCAGTTTGACCTAAATCAGTTAAATCTGATAGTACATCCAACCAGGTTTACCTTAAACCAGTTTTGGCCATTTTGAAAGTGGTTTATGTGGACTGAACTTCTGTTCTATTACAGGTTTAAATCAGCCGATCACTTAAACTGGTCTGTGTAACTTCTGTCCCTAGCCCTTGAGGCATACGATACCCAAAATGGCAGGGCTTGAAATATTGGGATTTTTCAGGAATTTGAAATGTGTGACTACTCTCTACAGCAGTGGTGCTCAATCTTTTCAGACAATGGGCCAGATGGGTAGTGCCAAATCCCTTCCCAGGTCAGATACTGTAGGGCCCCATCTGGCACAAAGTGGGGGGTGGGGGAGGGAGGACAGCCCGGTCAGAGGATGGCATGTGGCCTGGCCCCATGGGACAAAGGAAGCATGGGCCAGCCCCTCAGGAGGAAGGGGACATGGCCTGGCCCCAAACTGGCCAGGGGAAGGGAAGTAGGCATGGCTGCATGGAGGGAAAGGGTATGGCCTGGCTCAGATTGGCTGGCTGCAGGGGAGGGTCATGCCCCAGGTCCAACCTGCCCCATGAGGCTCGTACTCCATGGGGCTTAGAATTGTAGAAGCAGGAAGGAACGGCAGTGCTGTCACAGCTCCCCCACCACTTAATTTCCCAACCCATTGGGAGCCCCATGGGCCAGATTCCAAGGGTCCATGGGCCACATATGGCCCACAGACAAGAGATTGAGCACCCCTGCTCTAGAAGTATATAAATCTGAAACAGCATTAGACAGTCAAAAGGCAGTTAAATATAGAAAGGAGCCCACAAATGTGTCATATGCCAGGAACTTACATTCATAAGAACATGGACTAGAAGAAGCCTCCCAGGACATTGAGTCCAGTCTCTTACATTTATAGGCAATCAGTTAACCCAAATCCCTCACTATGCACCTTTTGATTTTGGGTTTTTTGCTTGGTGGCAGTGCTGGGTATCGGTAGTCAGCAGTTTGTAAATTACCTAATATTGAAGAGATGCTAAATGTGTTGTTGTATTCCAAACAGATCAGCAGAACGCAGGCGCAGCTCCATCGTAGTAAGTCTGCCAGGACTTGAAGTGTTCCCTGGAGACCTCCTGGTATCAGACACTGCTGTTGACTACCTGCACCACTCAGCATTGCTGCCAAATGCAGGTCAGGCACAGGATGGGATTTGCTTGCATCACATTCTTAAAGACCATGCGTTCAAAGTGAAATGGCTTTATATAACAGCTATAAACTAACACTGCTCATGCATACGAAGTGAAATGGCTTATATAACAGCTATAAACTAACACTGCTCAGGATTCAGATGCCTAATTTGTAAATTCTGTGCATGTTAGGTACTATCAATGATCTTTGCTGTTCAGTACATTCATTTAACAAATCCTGATCACAGTAACAGCAATTAGCATCATCATTCATTTACGAAAAGAGACACTAACTCTAAAAGACATTCTAAGAGATAAATAAGCAAGTTAAACTTTAAATATCAGTGGGCTGATAAGGATGTTGCTTGATATTTAGCAACCTGTTTCAAAGCCAAACAAATATAGATCTTTCCTTAGTCTACAACTGACTTGATGCTGAAGTTTATCCATTCATTAAGGCCAAGATTTAGTCTAGGAACCATAACGGGAAATCAAGTGCTGTCAGTCAGATAAGGTGTTCTCACCAAACAATTCAGTTTGCAGTTATATCAAAACATGATTTGAAGATGGTGTGGACCTTTCATTTTAATGCAGTGGTATGCAAGCACATGCTTAATTCTGAAGGGTAAGTGTGCTTAAATGCATTCATGAATCAGGGATTGTGCTATTAGGGTTTGTCCACACAAAGAAATTTACTGGTATTATACTCAGCATAAGAAAACACCCACAACAAAGAGTTACACTGATGTCACATAGCAGTATTATTATATTGGCATAATTATATTTATAAATATCCCTTTATAGAAATGACACCACAAAATAACGGACAGACCCAGTTTACTTGTAAGGTGGATGACATCTTTTAAGAATTAACCTGAGATCTGACTATTCGTGCTGTATCATGCCATGATCACAGCATGCAGCCCTGCAGCTGGGTTCTCAGTAGTGCTGACCATCTGCCGTGACCATGAGACTTCAGGATGCTTAGAGCTCCTGAAAATCCAACCACTGGTGCACATCAGTATTGCCTGGAGGGCCTGACTCAAAGGACCTTACTGAGTTTTAGGCCTGGCCACAATCTTCCTGAACACAAATGTTAAAGATTAGTTACTGTATTTACTTGACTCCAAAGTTCAGGGGGTTTTACCCCCGATCAAGATAGAGAACAAAAAGCCTCATCTTAGACTGAAGCACCAGGCTGAGACAGGCTTAGCTCCAGTTTTGGCAGCTATCTTGGGGCTAAAACCAGAGCTGAGTCACTGCCTGCCTCCAACCAGGATGGCTTACTTGGCAGGGGAAGGGGTTTGCAGCCAGAGCAACACCGGGGATACCAATGTGTGTAACATGAAAGGAGCATGGGGGAGACCACTCAGCCTACCCACCCCTTACCTTCTGCTCCAGCTCAACCTCTGATCTCTCCAGCCCCGACCCAGCCCAGCCAGGAGCTGCTGCCATTTCTCCCAAGTTGGGCTGGGCCTGGGCCATCCCTGCTGCTGACTGCCTGGAACCGGAGCAGAGCTGCAGCAGAAGGTAAGCAGGGCTCATGGGAGGGCAGGCATGGATTAAGGGGGCAAAGCAGGAGGGGCAAGCAGAGGCATGGAAGAGTGAGGGTGGGAAGCAAGGGGCAGGGGGCAGGTATGGAAGGAAAGGGACAGGGGTCTGGCCCCTCATCCTAATGCTGCTGTCCCTGCCATGGCAGTAGATGGGATGAATTCAAGACAACCTTCCAGTAATTAGTTTTTATACATGGAAACTTATAACACATTTATAATTTTCCATGTCTAAACTCTAATTACTGGGGAGGGGCTTTTAAATTCCAAGTTAACTTGGATTCAGGTAACTACAGTAAGTATAATTGTTTTTATTTCCCCTTAAGAAAAAATATTCTTGATTTCTTTAAGAAAAAGTAGCCACAAGCTAATATTCATATATGTATTTGTTTCACCCATTAGAGTCCAAAAAGTCAAGGTGGCCATTCATCAAGAAAGGAGCTGTGAGTACTTCACGACATATTTTTCCTTTAACTGTGTGTTCCAGAGATCAATACTGTAAAAAGCTAAAAATCTTTTTTTCATTTTACTGCCTTTGCAGAAAAAAATGAGGGTAGGGAAAATTAACAGTAAAAGCATTGGTTGCCCAGGTACTTAAGCACATGCTTAATTTCAAAGAGATGAGTAATGCCATTAAGCACACGGACAATGCAGTGATGAAAGACATAGATGCCTAGAGAGTGCTGGGAAAAGCAAAATGAATAATCTCCCAGTGAATGTACACACAATTAATGCATTTGGTGGCTGATGTTCTGATAATGTGGTGTGCGTTAGTTCATGATAGCATGTGCTAGCTAGCTCTCTCTCTCTCTCTCATCTATCTTGGTTAGTCCAGAAGGTGCAAATCTCCCCTGCCTTCTACTGAAGCTCTCTAGCCTGCATTACACAAGAGGTCAGGTTAAATATCCCCCATACAACATGCATTCATGTAACACTGTGCATGGCACACAGCTGCACTTAATTGAAATATTCCAAATGTGGCCAAAAAATAATGAAATAGAAAGTGAATCCCGGGCCCTTGTCAGATATTTAGCCCCCTGTAATATCAAACTCAAGCACACAAGACCTGTACAAGCAACCCTTACATTAGAAAGTGGGCATTTGTGAGAATTAAGTGGATTTTGTCCAGGTTTCTATTATATTTATATTTATTTCTTAAAGTTGTGTAACGCCCTGCAAGATTAGGTATTTTAACAGTTATTTTCTACATGATGATCTCTGCACCCGACTCATTGTGAGGAGAACTTGATGAGACTGAGATCTGAGGGAGAACCTCTATATGTAAGAAATAGAAAATACAACATGGGAAGGGCTCTTTCCCTCCCATCACCAGAAAAAAGCAGAAAATTGCTGATGGACTCTGCAGTCCACTCTTCTTGACAATTTAAACATCTACCTGGGTTCTGAGCTTTTTGCTCCCCGAGATGGCTCTGTTCATTTCCCTCCTGTTTGTGGCTTAGGAACGATGTAGGATACAATGAGGCTGAACAATGGCTTCTTCGGGGGTAACAAAGAAGTTTTTTCCCACTGGAGCCAAAATTGGCAGAGAGCTAGAGGAAGTTGTTTTGTTTTGGGGTTGTGGGTTTTTTATTTTTGGTTTTTTGTTTGTTTGTTTGTTTTTTACCTTGGAACAGGAAGGCAGTCTTACCTTCTTCACCAGGTTAGTTAGGGACAGTTAGGTCAATTGCTGTATAACTTTAGTTATTCAGTCATTTATAAGGATGCTCAGTTAATTAGAATTTATGGCTGATATCCACTGTTGATAAAAGGCCAATGGGTAAGCTCAGCTCACAAAAATCAGAGCATGCTAGGATGTTTCTGCAAATTGTGGATGTTGTACTTGTAGAAAATTGGAAGATGCCAAGGATTTTCCAGACAAAGGCCCCATTGTGGTACTCTAACAACCTCATAAGGAACAGAATGGGAGCATTCAAACACTGAAGCAAATGTTAGGGGTAATCTCGTGTTATGGCTTACACAGAGAGAACCTCATAACCCCTCCAAAGCCACCGAACTGTGCCTAGAACAGTAACAAATAAAGCGGTACCTGCCACTTAGAGCCTATCCCTGTGTCCATCTTCGCTTGCCTACAATTTCCTGAGATTGTTTTTCCAGTGACTGAACAACTGAAACAACAATAATTGCAACAGTATTTACAGATCACTTCTGATTTGCTTTGATCATTTCAGCAATAAGATTTTTTTTCAGTGAAATAACTAGGACAGGGCAACTGGGACAGTTGATCTGGGCACCAGCAGTGGTGAATCCAAGCTCACATTCATACTCCTCTTCCACGGTGAAGGTGACATGCCAGCAGATCCATTTCCTTATGCCTGGATCCCCTGCAGCCCCCTTTCCAGCCCTCCTGCTCCCTGCCTGCTCCTCAAATGTCCTCCAGTCTAGGAGCAGGTGCCATTCCCAGCCCTGCCCAGCATTTCATACACCTGTTCCCCATGGCTGGGGCCCCTAAACAAACCGCAGGAGAGGGAGAGGGAGCAAAGACCCATCTGCTGTCACTGCCACTGACCCAGCACCCCATACAGCTGGCTCCCTGTAGCCCTCAGCTGGAGTGGAGCATAAGCAGTCCTGGGACTTTCCCTACCTCCGGGTCTGCAGGGGACAGCAGCAGAAGCAGGTTTCCAGGCACTCCTGTGCCTTGCCCACCTCCTGAGAGCCCCCTCTACTCCACAAGCAGGTGCTGGAGGTGGGGACCTACCAGCTATCACCATCACCACTGTCCTGGGCACTGCCACTTACTGACGCCCCCAGCTGGAGCAGAGCAGAAGCAGCCCTGGAACTTCCCTCACCCCTGGGGCAGCCAGGGACAGTGGTGGCAGTGGAAAGGTTTCCCCCTTCTTGTACCCAGAGGCAACCTCTGCTGGAGAATGGGGGAGGGGAATGAAATGGGAAGGGTAGTACTGACAAGAGCAGGGGGAGGAGTGGTCTTACCTGCTTTGGGGCTCCAAAATTCCCTGGCAGCTGAAGCCCTGGCACAGTCCCCCCACAGTGGGAGGGTTGCAGCCTCCACCATGGAACCAGTGGCATCTCCTACACCCTGCTTTTTGAAATCCAAGACCCACACAGATGCACCAACTTGGGAAGAAGGGAGGGAAGAAAGAAAACAGCTGCCACCATAGCCCCTCAATTACACTGGTGGCATAGTGGCAACCAGTCACCACTGCCCATGTGTGTAGCAGCTGGCTATATCATTGCATCTCTAGCTATTTTCCTTGCTGTACCTAGGAGGTCCCTGATCCTGCACTCTGATCCATGCAGACTGGCCTACAAAGGCTGGGACCCACAGGGACCAGTTCTCAGGTGAAAGCCACAAGGGTTATTTGAGAGCAAAGTGAGGACATGGCTTAATTATGACTTCAATTCATGAAAAGGAAAAATACTTTTCAGTTGTCAAATTAGACCTCCATTAAACACCTGCTTATGTGCTCTGTTCAAGTCCCAGTGGCATCAGCAGGCTTAGGGCCTTGTTTCACTGCTTTGTCTTACACACAGGCAATTAGACTGCCTTTTTAATGATTAAAAATAAATAAAAGAACCCCAAGAATTTGTTTTCCTCCAGTTAACATTGGTGAATAAAATCTCTTCTTGCAGAACGAGCAGAAGATGCAACAAAATAACTACTTTTACATATGTCTTGTATTATTTAATATAGATGGCCATACTATATTTGTTATACTGCACCAATATTGAATGTACAGAACTGGCAAGCTTCTATTGTTACTTCAATTATAAAACAATGAAAATGTGCTTTTGGATAGGGTTACGAAGCATGTACCCTTGTTTAAATTAGTTCCTTTTCCCCTTTATCCTATTTTGTAACTTTAGAAATACCATAGCATTTGGTTTCTACAGTTTTCAATATTAATAAATAGCCAATATCATCATGCTCATTAGTAATTTCACTGTAGGAGGTCTGCATCAAACTCAGATTCCAGTGCTGCTATGGTTGCTAATGAGCTTCAAATCTATCTGTACCCTCAGAGTAGTAGAAGCACAGAGGAAATCAGTTATGTTTATTGTTATTAACTAACAGAGACAATATGTATATACTTCTCAGTTTAAAAATAATGTTGAATTTCCGGGCTAGTGCCCAAGTTAAATCTGTATCTATGGAGTGTGACCTAAAAATTTTATTTGAAAGTGCGTGCACACACTTCCCTTTCTAAGTTACCCACCCCAAGTACATCACAGTATTAAGTTATAACGCTACTTGAAATCTACTTTTTTCTCTGCTTATGCTATTTATCCACTGTTTTTCTGGCACTTTGAACAATGAAAATAACCAGGCAAGTTAGGCTTTTGGTAAGACTCAATAGCAAGTCTATGTTACTTTCCTGTCCTCAAGCACTAGCACGATTAAAAGGTGATTGATCAATTTGCACTGAATAATATACCTTGAGATTCTTGTTTCCTGCAAGCAAAATTCTCCGATTTATCAGTCAAAATTACTCAAGTTTCTTAACTCCCAAACAAATACCTTGCAAGGGGTTTGCTGCAAATATGAAATGTTTTAATTTCAAATCTTCCCAGACATGGATCCTAACCCAGTAAACGCTTATACAGGTACTTAATGTGACACACACAAAAAGTTGCACTGAGTTCAATGCTTTAGTAAAACTGATATTTGCCAAAGCCTATACTCTAACTGACTGCAAGGATTTTTTGAGATTAGCCAATATTACCTTTTGCCTGACTTCACTTTACAGTTTTGCAAATATTAGTTCTTTCAAGGCCTAAATAATGCACTGCATTTTTTAAATTGTTCTAGGACTTCAGACCTAAACTTTGTCTTTTTTGAGCTGCTCATTTGTTGAAAGATAAATATATGCATAGGTCATTGCAGGATCCCAAGCTATGAATGAGAAAATTGAGGTCTTTATTTAAAACATGCAACAAACTGCTCACAAACAATTCAAACATCTGTAGCTAATCTTGAGACTGGGGCTTTTTTGTGTGTGTGAATGATGCATACATAAAGGTTTACAAGATTTCATTATTTAAAAGCTGCTTGCAATACTAGTTTTGCTTCCTCCTCAGATTCTCTTATGGAACTAATCAACCCAGCTCCAATTATGAATGTAAGATTATTTAAACCTAACTTTGGTTTTCAATTTATCAGCATTGTTCAAAATTAATTTTTCACCAGTATTTCTTTAATAAAGCCTAAGCACGTAAAGAATTATCACAAGCAAATCAAACAGTTTAATCAACATTTACTTTCAAAATCTAATGAACAGTTGAAGCATTAAATGCAATGGTGTTGGCTTGGACTTGCTTGCAAATACTGCAGGCAAAGTTGGTTTTAAAAGAATCCTTCCACTGATTCTTTTTTTCATGAAACATTTTCTCTCACTCTTAAGCGTCATGAAATCTTATTTTTACAGAAATTCAATGTCATGCTAAATTTGACCAGACAGTGTTGTCTTTAAATGTGTGGCTTAAAGTAGTAAAGTATTCAAGATAAGAATATTTTGAAGAAAAAAAAAAGGCTTAACCTCATGAATTTCCCAGTCCTGTATCTCTGATTGCACTGGAAGTTTTGCAGGAGCAAAGCACACAAAATTTATTCCCTGATGTGTATTTTGAGCACAGCCCATCATTAGTTGTTATATTCCAGGTTAGCAACTGTCAAAGACTGCTGCACTCAGTAACTAGATCTCATTGTGCCAAAGGGCCACAATGACCTTGGCTCCTACCCATTTCCAACACATAGAAGCAAATGACAGTTGCTGCAGTCTCACTCCTGCAGCTGCGCTTTGTTTGGCAAAGAAATCAAATATTAGAGGTGAAGTACTTGCAGATTAGAAAATACTGCAGTTAGTATGACTACTTAGCTCTTCAAAATAACGTATGTTGAATTTGCTTATCTTTAAACAGAGTAAAGACAAAAAGCAAATGTCTGACCTGGAAAACTGTCTTTCAACCATTAAAATTACAGACTGCAGTGGTTATGAGTTTTGCAGCTTTAAGGTACTGAACTACTCAATGTACTGTATTGATAGCTTTATCTATCAGACTCTTAAAACTCTTATCTCCACTATCCCTTCTTAAAATGAGTCTTTCCCATTCCTTTAATCAATATGTGCAATCTACATGCAAAATATGTGCACAAATTCAGGCTATAATTCTTGCAGTAAGTGGCTGATCTCGTGGAATAGTACATAATCTAAATGTCAGGAAATCGGGGCTTATTTCCAGCTCTACCGATCATCCGGTGACCTTGGTGACTTACCCTGTTTGGGCTAGAGCAGGGGCAGGCAATTATTTTGGGCAGAGGGCCGCTTACTCAGTTTTGGCAAGCCATCCAGGGCTGCATAACAGGCAGCTCAGGGCAGATTAATATTAATTTTCTAAATTTTTTAGGGGCCCTGCAGGCCAGATAGAATGGCCTGGCGGGCTGCACCCGGCCCCCGGGCTGCATTTTGCCCACCCCTGGGCTAGAGTCTTTACATTCTGCAGGCAACTACGCCCCCTCCTAGGTACCTAAATTTCTGCTGGTTTGCATGCACAGGCCTGGTGCCATCCACAACCAATCAGCTGCTTGGAGCCCTAACCAGAGCCCTGGAAGCCCCAGGCAGGATTCTCTGAAGAGGCAGAGGAGTGCCTGCCATACCAATACAGTCCAATCCTGTGCTGTCTTCAGACAATGCCTAGGCCAAAGATAGCCTGGGAACATACATCTGTGAGATGTGTGCGTGTCCCAGGTCGAGCACTAATATGGGATCTGGAAGCTTAGGTTCAAAACTGTGCTCTGCTGAATTGGAGCACAGGCTTGCTAAACCCTGCCCTTGCCAGGACCTACCTCTGTGCCAGTGTAAACACGCCCTTATGTACCTAACTTGGGGCTGAGGATTTCACCCAGTGGTGGAGCACCTAAAAGTTGGGGTGGGTATTGCAATGCTAAGCAGAACAATACCTAAGTACCTGCAAATGTCTAACTTTCCATGATTGCTTCATGGTAGTGTTGTGTGACTCTGTCCAAACCACATGAAGATCTTCGGATATAATATGCTACAAGTGCAAAATATTATTGTCTATTGCTATCATATTCTGGGCACATTATCATACTTAAGAATAAAATGCCAAGGTTTTATTATTATTGTTGCTGTTGTTAAACCTTCAAAAAAGAATGCCAACTCTAGTTGTCAAGGCCATTGTACACAGCCAAATATATTGCAGCAATTCACGTATGTTATTTTGTCAGCTATTTTACATGAAATAAGTCGAATGTCTTCTTTTTCTCCCATCAATAGAATAAAACTTGGCATGAATTTGTAGAGAATCAATGGACTGAACAGAAAGACACTGATGATTGTTTAGAACTGAAGAAAGAAGCGGCTGTGTGGGAACTCTTTACAAGCGAATGCACTTACTTTTTGGACCATTTGCTGGTTCTCAAGATGGTAACTCTGGATTTTCTTTCTCCAGTAAATTAAACGAGTTGTTTGTCCTGCCAACAGTATAGGAGAAAGGAAATCATATATAACCTTTCATTCTTGTATCTGCATTACGTATGCTCTTCTTGCTCATTTCATCCAGTTGAAATCTACTCCATTATTTGCCTCACTACTCCATACTTTGCATCACTTTCTCTTGGTTCATTTTCAACAGCACTAGCAGCAATTTCACAATTTCTCTTGCTATCGCTGTATCTGAACACCAAATTCAGACTGGTAATGCTAAATGTTTCATCATGAATGGTTAGGGGCTGAGGCACACGACTTATGAGGAGAGGCTGGAGAAACTGGGCTTATTTAGTCTGGAGAAGAAAAGACTGAGAGGGGACTTAATAGCTGCCTTCAACTACCTGAAGGGGGGTTCAAAAGAGGATGGAGCGAGACTGTTCTCAGCAGTGGCAGATGACAGAACAAGGAGTGACGGCTTCAAGTTGCAGCAAGGGAAGTTTAGGTTAGGTATTAGGAAAAACTCTCACACAAGGAGAGTAGCAAAGCACTGGAATGGGCTACCCAGGCAGGTGGTGGAATCTCCATCCTTGGAGGTTTTTAAGACCCAGATAGACAAAGCCTTGATTGGGATGATCTAGCTGAGGATGGTCCTACCTTGAGCAAGGGGTTGGAACTAGGTGACCTTCTGAGGTCCCTTCCAACCCTAATATTCTATGATTACTAGCCCATAACATTTTGTACTCTTAGCTTATCAACTGGGTTTGGAGAGGACTAAAAGGTGTGGCTGTGTCAGCCAGATTAGAACATGAACATATAAAATTTAGCAGGCCAGTAATACCAGTATTTCAAGCTATTCCTGCAGCTGAAAAAAAATCAAACTCAGTTGCATCCTAGTCAAGAGAATTATCTGTATTAGTTTGAAGTCAGCCAGGAGGCAGGGCAGGGTGGCACCTTAGGCTGCTTGTACACGCCACAGGGGTTTAATTTGGTTTAATTCTCCCTAAATTGAAACAGTGGGTTTTTAAAAACACTGCTTCAATTTAGAGAGAATTAAACTGAACTAAACCCCCATGGCATGTATACCAGGGTGGGAGCCCAATCCTTACCTGCCTCTTCGGGGGGGGGGGGGG